CAAATCCTCAACAAAAACCAAGAAACAGTAAAAACAGGTAGAACCGAATTTTACATGCGAAATATACACCATAACCTCGGAAAATATCAACGTACATTTTTTACTACCATTTACGTTATGATTATTACGCTAAAAATTTCAAATTAGCATAATAATATTATGTTATCGCAATAAAAATTGTCTCAGCATCTTTCACAAAGTTTACACAAACAAAATATCGATATTAAAGTAAAATCAGTTTACACTAAAAATTTCATTATGCCTGAACATTAATATACTTTAAGATAATCTTGGGGTGCATCATTCTGGAATGAGGAAAAAAGATTTTTAATCGTCAATCAGTGAACATACTTTGTCAAATTTTCTGACGTATAGTGATAGATGCAGCATCGTCTACGTCATGACCAACAGAGACCTTAGATATTATTGGGAGATAAAATGACACTCTAAGTAATCGTTATCTTGATAGTAATTACATTCAGTCATTCACGAGTCCAAATGACGTTCACGTTGAAAAACAACTATGATAATAAAATGCTCCTTTTCACGGTATGATCTTACGTCATTATTTCTCAGCCCTCGAGCACTCCGTGTACCTGGTAATATCCTACCTCTATACATTACACAAAGCACACGGGATATTTCGAGGGTTGCTGGAAATGACAAAAGCCATATTGAAAATGAGCTGGCCATTTTTTTCGTTCCTCGATTCACCTGGGGATATGTTTCAAAAGGTACGAATTAAATTGCTTCTACCTTAACATAAGTAATAGTAGCCTATGTGTGGATCTAATAAGTACTCACATAAATTCAGATAATTTAATAATAATATTACTTTGACATGTAGCACTTTGATGCTCCTTACTCTCCAGAGCTAGCGTGGCATTTGTATCTATATATATATAGAGGCACCTATAAACGATGCTGGGATCAAAGAAGTAGACGTCGAAACTTGCCTGCCAGAATCTTATCTGCCAGGGGAGTTTTTTTAACGACAGATCGGAAGAAGGGAACTGGGACACGAACTAAGTATACACAGTGAGAGTGGTTTTGTAAGTGACGTCAAGGGCGGAACCGGACGAGGCAGCAAGAACGGATAATGCGAGAGAGGACAATATAGGTATAGAAATGCATTGCTAGTGTCTTTCGGATCTAATCACGTATAGGGATAGTTTCGTGTTTTACAAATTACTCGTTTTTTTTTTTTTTAGAGATACCGAAACAGTGATGCTGGATCATTATCGAATCGTTTACTTCTGGAAGCTTAAATAAAAATTTTATTTTTGAATTTTATAATTGATACATTTTTATTAATCGGTCAGTCGTATATTATTTGTTTTATATTTTTTAAGTAATTTAAGAAATTCATAAAAATATTGCCTTTGTCTCACTGTAGAACATCCTCTGTTCACTACCACTTTGGTATGATGCGCAAGTCATTTCCCTTCGTACTTATTGCTCGACGTAAAATCGATTCTCTGATATGAAATATCAATACCGTGCGCGAGCATTCTAATACCATTTCTATTTGATATTCCAAAGCTAGATATAGATATGATCTTCCGTGGTAGCTTAAGATTTTGTTTCTTAAAAAACTTACCCTTGTTTCGTGTGAATACTGTGCACAGTATCACTCTGTATAAATGTATTTTTATATATTTATATATGAGGATCGATATTTAATTTTTTGATAACTTTCGTAACGTCTGCCTAAAGTTTTTTTGTTCTAGTATTATTTTAAGCCATGCCGATCACTTGTCTTCAATTTACATTGGCAATGGAATAATACAATACATATATATCAAAAGTAAATTTTATCCGACAGGTTTAATAATCTATATTTAAATTGCACACTGTACCAGGGCTCCGAATTGGTACAGCAGAAGGTTTGCGTAATATAAAAAAATATCTTATCAATTTTACTCTTAAAAATTGGAGGGCCAAGGTACTTCATAAGCTTTCGGATCCACTTTTATTTCTGCTTTTACGGCGGCTTCGATATAAAGTATGAAAAATAAGTCATGATATATCGGTGCCAGGTCGGAATCTCTTGGAAGGATGGTAAAGGAAAAAGCACGATTTATCCTCGTCATTTAAGCTCGCATTCGTATCCAAGAGCTGAATGACAAGGCACCATCGAGAAGGACGATGCCAGACGTTAATGGCTGCTGTCTTCGACACGATGCACTCGTGCTCCTCGAGTCTTCGCCGGGATTGATTTCACCAGGGTGCAATTAACTCACCAAGGACGTTCGATTATGGACAGGCTGATTATCGATCGACGTTTCGATACGAGGGACAAGCTTCTCTACGTCTATGTACGTTTATGCACGATACAGATTGAGTCGCTAAATTCAATAGAGCAGGTTACTCAATATATTCAAGAAAACACGAACTAAGATCTGTATGACGATGCGACGACAGCGCCACGAGGTAACTATCGACTACTGCTGGAACTGCCAGTGACATGTGTATTGAGAGAAAAAAGAAGGTGGAAACAGATAAAAAGAATAAATTATATTATTCTCTTATTCAAGTTGAGCCTGAAGCTTAAATTTTATCTGCTGATTCAAAACCGTAAATGTAACTTGATCAAAGTGGGATATTCAATTTTAACAAAATTTCTTTTCCTCCCTTTTCTTATGACAGGCGATTCCCTTCTTTTAATATAATCCCGTCCCTTCTTGTAAATTTCTTACGTATCTTCATCTTCCTGAAACTGTGAGTTGCGAAAAGAGACGTCTCGACGCAGCGGCTTTACCCTGAAAATTTTTTGGAATGTCTTGGGGGAATATAGGCTGCCGCATTCTCCGGTGCTTTTAGTAAACAACGTGGCATTTTGCCTATGTCACTATCGTACGACGCTCCTATGCAATTACCCTGAAAGTGTTTCCATGCAGAAGTACCACCCTTGTGGAAGCAAAGTTATTTCACACGACACTTAAAACTTATGGTATAAACATTCTACGTCCCCTAATAATAATTAAGGGATCATTGGCTGTCGCGTTATAAGATCGGCCATTTTTCATCGAAGAAATCCTCTGTCTGGAAAGGGATATTAACGAATTACATTGTTAATAAATATTAATGTACCTGTAAGGGATGGCCAGAAGGGTGGGTACAATTTTTTAAAATTGAAAACTCTAGAATTTGAAAATCCCGCCTTATTTGTTATTACGATAACGATAAGACTCAGGTATGACCTCATAGTCAAGAACTGATAACGTATTTTTTTCTATAAAGCTTCACAGTGATTATTTTTTATTACCAAGACATTTTTTAAGCTTCTCAAATTCGAGAACAGACATTTAACCTTAACAAAAAGTCACAACCTTCGGTAGAGGAATTTAAAGCGAATGGGGCCGTTTTATTGAAGCTGTCGGAGTTAACGCGACTTTAATCTCCAGATACGCATCTAGGTAGGAATGGCAGAGACCAGATACCTACCTGAATAGTATCGTAAAATTTATCCCCGTTAGGAATACCAAGTAGACGTGTGACGGAAATCAATAATAACCAGAAAACGAATGCAGGCTACGCAATAAAAGCGAAATGATCCTTCACTTTTCTTCGGGGATCAAAGGAAGAATGTCGGTGAAAGGTTAAAGATAGTATCCGTGTATTTCAATTTCCATAATTGAATTACATTATTTCACTATATATATGATATCCAAAGCCATACAGGGTGGTCATAAAATCAAGATCGGTTTTCCAATTTTCCTTTACGAAAATAAAGCGGGCCTTTATGACCACCCTATATATACATTATATATATATATATATATATACACACACATGTGATACAATTTGCTACAGTTTGACTTATTAATCAGATAGCTTCGGATAGATACGGTACATTCATTCTCTTTACATTATGTGTACGCAAGGCTTGCATTTAACTGCATAAATACGTTTGTTGATTTGAAAATGCAAGTGCATTGTGATGCATTTCCATGAATCGCCTGTCATACTAAATGATTGAAATCAAATTTTTAAATCTATTGATCACTATTTAGCCACTTTCAACAAGTATGACTATCGGTGATAATATTTTTGAAAAAAAAAATCGATCAGGCACCCCAGTACTAAAAGAGGATCCAGATGCATCGCATTTTGGAAAAAGTTCCCGGTGCGACTTTGCCCAGTGTCTCACGGACATTGAAACCATATAGGCAGGGTACGAGGATGATCCCACGTGCGAAACAGCCGAGCTCCTTTGTTCCTGACTCTCGTTCATCTCAATTATTGCGGCAGTATCGCGAGGTTTACGTAATGAAAACAAACTACTGAACGAAGGGAAACAGACCCGACGTAGTGACGTATATCGCTTAAAACCTTCAGCTGGGTAAACACAAGATGCGACTTTGATAATTTGGTAGAAGTTAATGAAATTTTAATAATTAAATTCTCACGATAATAATTACGATATTTTGTATCAATTTGTTTGTGATAAATAATTGATAACAGGTACGGCTAATGATCGAAGGCATAAAATTAAACAAAGAAAGACAAATGAATTCGTTCAATTTCTCACAGCTATGTCGATAACTGAAAGTGTATCCTGTTTTACCTACAGGAACACGTTGTATGCTTGTTCCATGGTATCGATATATGTAATAACACTGTTATGGGGTCCGCATAACACGTTCTTCGTATTTCTTGTTTACGGTAGACCCTACATCTAGAACAGTGGGACTGCAGTATTCGTTGTATTGCAACCCTTTTACGTAAATAGGCGACAAAACGAAATAGGGGAAGAAAAGGGACGTAGAAAATTGTTAGCTAAAAATATATTCTATGTATACAGTATTCCGTTACTCTACCCGATAAGTAATTTTTTTCAGACCCTCTTTCCATTAACTGAAAAAATAGCGAGTTGGTAAACAGATCTGATAAGGATCTTTATTAAAAGGAATCCTTTATTAGCAGTAGTAATTCTTAAGCGAATTTTCTAAGAAGTTATGGAAAAGTCTAAGATAATATTTACCGTGTGCTTGCAGGTTTTTCATGGACGACTGAACGGCGTCACACTGGATAAGGATGCTGACACCACGGAAAAGTGTTTTCCCAAATTAAGCGCGTGGAGAGGATAAAGTGCCTGAGTGAGTAAGAGTGGACCGGTTGAAAGAGAGAGGGAGAAAAAAGAAGGGTGAAAGAGTGAGACAGATTGATACGGAAAAGTGAAGCATAAGTTAAGCAATGGAAAGTTAAAGTCTTGTACCTAAGGGACAAGGCGCCTAAAGAGAAATGCCAGAAGTTGCGGGAAAATTTGTAATTTCATTCGGTGGAACATTAACAGAGTGCGACCAATTGAATTAGCGATATTAATTATCACCGTTACGACATTCGTCTCCGGTGAAGACATTACGTGGGCGTCCTTTTCTCTGCCTTGAAAAGAAACAAAGGATCTTGAGAAGTGTGTTAGGGTGAAACAAAAAATACTTGGAAACAGTTCAGTCACGAGGAGACGTATTACGTTTACCTATCGAAAAGCCTGGGCGTCCTTCTACGAGCGACGGATCTGTACGGGTCAGTGGGTTAATTAAATAATAATTAATTGTGGTGCAATTAAAATAAATTACGAAGCCAGTACTTTTGTCTCGTGGAAAAAAATTTTTTTTACTCTTACGAAAACAAAAATATTTTCTTATCGTTTTAAGGGTCGTTTACATGAATTGCACGGTAGGTGTTTCACGATTGTTTGTCGTTTACGTATTGGTGCGTTTGTACGCTCGCAGTGATCCAACGTGAAGAGACAAAAGAAAAGTGAGATAATTCGTCAGGAAGAGAGTAATAGGAAGGGATAATATACCCACGTAAAGGAAGGGAGACTGGAAAATACGTTAATCCAACGGCTGCCAGAGCACCGGTGAGTAGTATTTGGAAACTCGATTTAAATGGTTTTTCGTAAGGGAAGAAAAAGAGTAGGGAAATTCCGCGTAGGAATCTCGTTACTCGGCCTTTTCAGGAGTGTCGTTTAGAAGCGTCGAGGTTTTCTGGAAAATTCACGTGGTTGTGTTTGTATTCCGATCGAAAGAGAGGAACTTAAAAAAATAGAAGGAACTAAGGAAAATGTAAATTATGCTGGAGCGGATGGACGAGTCGGTAGTAAATACGGTTTATGAGGTTTTACGAATGACGACGAATTTAACGAGGATCGCGCATGAAAAAATCATTAGATCAGTGGAAAATCTTCCCTCTGTGGAATTACTAGGTTTCAGGCAGCCATTCGTGCCAATGACAATTATTCCCATGATGCTTCCTAGGTTCGCTTGGCGTGGGATGCGAGTTATTTATGATGTCGGCATCGAACATAAACTCATCGGGAAGTACAGTAGGTACGACTGAAAACGAAAATGTATAAAATGTATAAAGGTTTCACTGTGAAAAGATCGCTAGGAAATTTTTCACTCTTTAGGATTTGTCGCAAAAAATATATGAAAATATAACGTTTCACTTCTGTACTACCCAATGACTTCGATTTCACAAAGTACCAGGTCACCAAGAAATATCTCTGGATGTACGAGTAAGAATGACGTATTTTTAGAAATAGTATTGAATTGTCGTTACAGTGCGCGCTTGGAAATTTATATGGATGTTTACTGGCGGAAGAGGAAACTGACCCAAGTAATTCGTGACGCGCTGAAGAAGAGCAAAACGAAAGGACGCCCAATGAGGACCTACGGACTTTAATGGAGCCTCGGCATAAGATGCGAGAATGGACGAGCTAGCTCGAGAAGAGGTTGAGGATCAGTAGCTAGAGGAAGTGGGGGCGTTTGGGATGCTCCAGACTTCCGGTTAGGGTCGTATGGAGGGGAAGAACGTAACCACGGAAAGCACCTGGCTTCTGAATGTGACGTCTGCTGCCCCCGAGGACTCCGAAAACTTTTTCCGAGGTTTTCCCGGCAACAATTCACCATTCACCACGACTCAGGTGAATATTAGCGTTATGGGAAAAGAGAACATGAGTATCCACAGGGAAATTGATTTAAACGAGGAAAATGGAAAAATCAATGATCGCTTCTACCTGGGAAATAGGTACATAAAATTCTAATCCTTACTAAGACCTACATAGATTATTCGAATGAGCTTTCAAAGTTTTGCCAAAAGAATTATACCGATTTCCCAAGAGAAGGGGCGCTAGGGATTTACTGAAAGCTTCAGGATATTCGATATCTGTCACAGGCTATAGTGATCGCCCTGGTCTTGGGAAGCATCATCGTCGGCACTGCCATTGGGAACATCTTGGTCTGCGTTGCAGTATGTCTGGTGAGGAAGCTCAGAAGACCCTGCAACTATCTTCTGGTTAGTCTTGCCGTGAGTGACCTTTGCGTGGCCCTTTTGGTTATGCCCATGGCGCTTCTGTACGAGATACTTGGCACCTGGTCCTTTGGACCCATTATGTGCGACCTTTGGGTCAGCTTCGACGTCCTCAGCTGCGCCGCCAGTATACTCAATCTCTGCATGATCTCGGTGGATCGGTAAGTTCACTGACAGCTTTCATTAGCATTCTCACCGTGTTCTCGTAATTTTTCATTTGACATTTTACAACATTGACCTTTCCATTATATCCCATGAGAATTAACTTCATTGATATTTAACCCGAAGTTGATAATATTTCCTTACGTCTTAACGTTGAAATTCTATATCACCCTGTACATTTTTTTGTATAAAAAGTACATAGTGCTTATATAGTATATACAATATTAACGAGCTCTAGGATAAATTCCAATATTCACCTAGACTCGTAAACACGAGAGGAAGTGTACTGTTAAACAAACCCAAATAGGACAAAAAATAGAAGCTAATCATAAATTTTTCAACTTTGTGAAAAAAAGATAGTTATAACCAACGTGATAATTCTTTTTGCAATTTCGGAGTTATCGTTATCGGATTTGCCACCCACTATAGGATTACGAGGATCAACGTGGCAATTTTCCATCACCCGATAAACTACCTAACCTTGTCTAACCGTAGCCAAATTTTACGACTTCTAGCCCCTAAGAAATCCAACTGCTCGTCTAAGTTATAATGGAAAAGAATATTTAATCGAATCTATTTTTTTCTGTATCCTCAAGATATTACGCCATCACGAAGCCACTGGAATACGGAGTGAAAAGGACGCCGCGTCGTATGATAATCTGCGTGAGTCTCGTGTGGCTGGGTGCAGCTTGCATAAGTTTACCGCCCGTTTTGATTCTCGGAAATGAGCACACTTACTCGAAGAATGGTTCATCGCACTGTGTAGTCTGTCAGAATTTTGCTTATCAGATATACGCAACCCTGGGAAGCTTCTACATACCATTGATAGTGATGATCGAGGTGACTAAAATTTTAATAAAAAAAAAAAGTTCATTTCTAATATCACCTTAACTATATGAAGTTTGACCTAATTACAGGATATTTGCATTTATAATTTCAGGTGTACTACAAAATTTTCTGTGCTGCACGTAAAATCGTCCTTGAGGAAAGAAGAGCTCAGAGTCATCTGGAAGCTCACTGCTACTTGGATATCGAACCACCGCAAGTACCGCAGCATCCGGCATCTATACTAAACCGCCAATTAATTCCGGACGTCCAAACGACACAGGGAAGTCCTCCGGTGAAGCAGCACAGAAGCTCAAGCGCTTCTACCACGGTAAGAAGAAAAGACCTTTTGTCATACATATACTTTCTTTGTCTCTTCTTATTCCTTCAACCCCTGTAATATCTTCGAAACAGATACCACCAGACCCTTGTCTGGTATCATACTATTTTCTTCTTATTGATCCATGATAACAGTACGCTATTGTCCTTTTTATATTTTTTTACCATACTCGATATATTTTTTTTAACTTTCCTCCTTCAAATTTTTCCTTTATTTTGTTATCTACAGAAATATTATTTTCTCTTCAGCACACCTTGAGGAGCGTCTCTCGGACGGCCATTATTCCTGGCAATGTTACCAGGGTGTTACGTCGTGTTTTCAGGGTAGGTGCTCATGCTGAAAACTGTTTAATTGATCTGTCCGTGTAAAGGGTTAGTTGCTTGATTGCTGAAAAAGGTCCTGAGAAAGGATCCGCGTGCTTTCGGGATCGTTTGAGTGTCAACAGGCTCTCGTTAAGACCCCGTTCACACGAGCGAGACGGTAGAACAGATTAAGAAATTTTAAGTTTTCAAAGTTGGCGACACACGAGAAACAAGACGAATCCACAGTGTATACATATATGCATAAGGGGATTAATGATTTTACCACCGAACGTTAGCAGCGTGGGAATCGCGTATGTCGGACGGGTTATCAGAAAATATGATAAATCACTCGTGCCCCGTGAGCATTAATTATCCATCAATAAGAAAAAAAAAACGCCGGCCCTCCCTGAGGTCCCTGATATACAGTAGAAAGGCGAGGAATGAGGCGAGGCAGGGCCGATCGACGATGTAAATTTCGGAATACCCTGCAGATCGATAATACACGGAGTCACTTCGGACTCGTTTGTTTCTCCTTTGTGACGTCACTTCCGCGCCAGGGGTCGGTAAACAGAGAAATTAATGTCATAACATTTTAATTAAAAACTGCCCGCAGTCGTTTTCACATCTTCCCACCGGAAGTACGGGGGACCGTAATAATAGGTATACTCTTTCCTTTTCTTTTTTTTTTCATTTACCTTTTTTTCCATCGCCTTTCAATTATTCACTTCGTTTACCTTATTCATCCATTTTCTCCGTTCCTTACACCACCTCAGACTCTAACTTCTCGTCATCCTCCTTCTTGCTCGTTCCATCCTATCTCTTAGCATCATCCTACATCGTAGCACGCTTCGAGAAACTCGATGTACGTACGTATACGCCGTTTTGTTTTTCTTGTCTTTTCCTTCTCTTTTTTTTCTCTCTTCGTTCCCGTCGATTAGATATCATCCACGTATAACGGCACCGTTAACGCGATACCAGTAGCTTCAATAATACCGAAGAATCCAAACGTCACCGTATACCCATCGCAATACTCAGCAATAGAAAACGGGCTGTGTGGCCCGTAAATGGGAAATTCGATGATATCGAAGATCATTTCTATTCTCGAACACGAGGCTTACAGGATTTATTCAAGGTCCTAGGAACCCGCTTTAAGGAGCAAGGACGTAGATTCCCCCGAGTAGAATCTGCTGGGGGTAGGAGTGCTGTGGCTGCAGCTTTACGATTGTTTTACGCTTTACAGAGCCGTTAAAGCCTGGGATTATAAAGCGTTCTCTCTCTCTCTCTCTCCCTCTCTCGCTAACCCCGTCCCCATCTTCTCTTTCGCTCTCCTCTTAACCCAGCGTACCCTTAAAATCACCAGATATGCCTTACGTAATGTATATGTATATTATACCTAATACTATTAGTCTTTGCTTTTTCACTCGCTTGCTTATGCGTTCACGTGCACGTCTCATACATCTACCTTCTGTCTTGCTCTACTTATCTCAGCATCCAGCTGCCGGTACCAAGGTACTACCAAAACATCGAACATGAGTGACACCGAAATTTCGTTTTGTTTGAGCAATAAAGTGCCGATGTATTTTACCAGACGCTGAGAAACCTATATGATACTATTCACGATTAGCCACCGTAACGACTTTCTCGCTTATGCTGAACAAATTTCCTATTGATGCTGTATGATATATTGTAACTTCATATAGGTATAGTTTGACACCGACTGCTGGGAAAGCTTGATTTCCGTTTAGATACAAATTTTATGAAATAACTTCCGACGAGCTTTCACTTCCGGTTGATATATTTACTTGATACAGCTTTATCCGTTTACATTAAGTTACTGTAGGGCCTTTATGTAGTATATATGAGAAGAACGACAGACATCCTGCATAATGAGTCTGACCAACAGCAAGATGAAATTGTCCGGCTGAATTTTAATCAGCTGTTAAATGACTCGATCGAGTAGGCGACCGATGGTTTAAAACGACTAGGTATGTTTTATGTGTGAAATATTTTTTTTTTTTTTTAATTTATATATTTTTAGTACGTACGACGACACGTAGACTGTCAACGGAATGAAAGGTGATGCAAGAGGCTGCTTTTATTCACCAGCTGCATCATTCAGTTGCATTAATGGCTTTTATGTACGTATATGACGTCACGACGCTGAGGCTGCAAAGAAACGTCACTCTTATTAAAGCACCGAAAGGCGTCGAATGAGTTTTCAATAAACTCCGCGAAACCTGATTAATTACACTGGCTGAGCATCAGCTCGCGCTAACGTACCGGCTGTGCGAGAAATTAATTAGCGCTTTAAAGCAACGTGATTATATACTATTGTACTGTACCTGATTATATACATATATGTATATAAAAATATAACATGAAAGCGACGAATTATTTCCAAATTAGTACAGCTAGGCTAATTTAATTCCCGTTTGTTCTTCCATTTCTCCCTTGTCGATGATCGCCTATCAATTAATTATTGAATGCCTTTCGACGAATTTAATTCGTCATGAAAAATTAAGCTTTTTGTATTATTGGGCAATATCAAATGGTGAAATTAAAAAAAATTTATTATCGTTCCATGGGACACTATTGACCCATATACAAATTAGATAATTTGCATCGTTATTTTTATTCGAAATTTTGCAACTCTCATTGAGCCCATTTAATTAATACGCTAATTAATTAACTCAGCAAATCTATTCTTGGGTACATCGTCGTTGGCCAGGTCATTCGTGCAGTGCACTAGGGAAAATTTTACGGTATCGGGTTACCACCTGAGAGATTGGCCCACCTATTTCGTTCCTATGCTAAAACCATATTCAGGTGGTGCGTTTGGGCTGAATAACCCAGTATATTAGCATTTGGTATAATTTACAGCTTCTTTGTCATTTGCTAATTATATCAGTTAATGTGTATAGTTAGGTGGGTTTGAGGAGCTGATTTCTATGCTGGCTACAAATTAGTATAGAATTTTTTTTTAACGTCGCTTCTATGAATTTAGGTCAGTGGTTATAACTAACTTTGCTGAAAAAGTTTTGATTTAATTTATTCGCCACCCTGTTGGCAGCTATTAGAACCGCATTACGACCGCAGATTGTCCACGCATGAAAATCGCACGTAACATCAGCCCAGCTGTCACACGCAGCGGCAGGGAACGACAGATCGCACGCGAGGCTTTCGGTAACACTATACGCCTTATACCACGTAACCACATATAGGGAAACGCAGATGAGAATAATTTAGTAGCTACCGTGAAATACAGTAAAACACATTACCAAGTTTCTCTCAATACTAATAAAAATTAATAAAAAAAAGAATAAAAATAAGATAAAAAATAACCATACGATTTACATGGTAATTATCACTCTGTGTAAAAGATAAGTTTTATTCGATCCGTTCTATCTTTTTTTTTATTGACGCTTTTTTTCATTACGGACCAGAAATTGATGCACGCCCACCTTAAGCTTCGTTGATTTATATGTGGAATGATAAATTTTTATCATCGCAGGGAAAAGGCACGGCTTGTGGTGTTGGGTTTTTATTTAATTAAAATATAATTAGTTATATATGTGTTTATCTGCCAATGCGTCATGTAGGCTGTAGAGACTCTTGACTGTTTAATATAATATTTATTAATGTAAACTTGAACACGTGTTACCTTAAAATCGCGAGTGAGGTTTAGTTGTTTTGGAAAGTTAACTTTACGATATATGGGAAAATCTTGTAATTTCTAAAAAATTACATAAACCAACGTGGCTTTACTTCCCTCGGAGAATCTTACTGAATTGCGATCGCACCCTAATGCGTGTATCGCGAATTACTTCGCTACGGAGTTAACGGAATGGGGATCGAGATCGAGGGAGAAATTGCGATCGCACCCTAATGCTTGTATCGTGAACTACTTCGCTATGGCTTTAACGGGATAGAGATTTGATTGCAGTTACGTGATTAAAAAATTCATGAAAATTTTTATGAAAATATACGCAGATTTAACGTGGATTTATGATCCTGGGACATAATGCGATTTGGAGAAATAATAAATTTATCAAATTTTCCATGAGATTGGATCTGAAAATAATAACGTGAATTCTAGGGAATCAAGTGTTCATATGAAATTTATAGAGTTTGTTGCAAGTACTGTACGCACTTGAATTCTTGAGATCATAAAAACGAATGGTTGACATTTATATACACCGAGAATTCTTACTGAATTTTTCTTTTACATAGCGGACGGACATATGTATTATGTAATGTCGAATCGAATACATGAATGGACGTAGATACGTATGTAGTTCTCGATACATTAAAGCCGAACAAATTTCAAGCTTTTAAATGTCACCATACATAACATTGATACGATCGGTCAGTGAATTATCAAATAATTTTTCTTCAAATTACCTGTTCATACTTTACACCCATTATATAATTTAATACCTTGTAGCCAGGTTGCCTTTGTGTATTACAAAAAGTCAATGACGAAGTCCCAGGAAAACCACCCGAAAAAAAAAAACTTTTGTGTATAATATTTATTAAATATTACTGAAAGCGTTTTCCATTGCCCCTTGGGTGAGTATTAAAGCTTTGAACGAGAAGCACAATCTAATTAAATTACCACCCATCGAGTCACAATAGAGTTTAGAAGGCTGATAAATTCAAGAGTTTTATAGAACGTCGGTACCACGGAAGAAAGTTACTATTAGATACAAAAAAAAAGGCGAGTAAACTTTTCGGGAAAAAAAAGAAGCATAATTTATTAATAAAACTACAAATAGCCTTCGAGCGTCTCAATAACGTTGATTCTCTACGGGGTAAAAGAAAAAGATGTAATTCTCAACTACAATAATGGCGTCTAGCTGTAATAAATCAGACATTCTCCGTAACGCGTAATGCAAAGGTATCCCAGAACATTAGGTCGAAAATAAGGAAAAGATAAATTATTCGTCTCGTTCGTCTCAAGTGAAAGGGTCGGAGTACCACCAACCAGGCCGCTGACATTTCTTGCACAGTTACATCCCAGGCAGCAGGATATACCATTAACAATTACCAAGGGTCCGAGGACATTACTCACCCTCAGGCATTCAGCCGAGTTCAAGGGTTGAAAACAGGACTATGATAGAATGAAGGTTTCCTCGATCCCTCAATGACCTCCCTTGCTGGCTAAGCTGATCACGATAATTTTCATGCGCTTTTGAATCGAGTGCTCGACACCTCGTGCGATCACGTTTCCCCTCTCGATTACCTCAAAAGTGGATTTTTACTGCATGCGTATTATTCCTCTCAGTATTCTACGATAACTCGTGGTAGCTACTCACGAAGTTCTCTTTTACCTGATCCACATTCCACCCTCGTCGAACGATCCATTCCGGATCGTAACGCAGATTAATCCAGGGATAAGTTACAACCGATAGAAGTAAAGCATTTCCATCTGGTTTCATCTGGAATTCTCCCAGTGGAATTGTTCTAGGGACGAAGTTGAGAACCCTCGATCACTCAAAGACGTAGCTAGATACACCATCGTACAGAAGAACCATATGCTATTCTCCCATGGTGGCGTAGCAAAGCATTCGAGAATCGATCAGCTGCTGTGTTTAAAATTGCTCCATGACGTAGGGTGACGCATTCACCACTTTTTGCCAATTCCATCTGGAAAGGGTCGTGTCACCCCACGTATCCAGCTTTTAATCAAGGCCACTAAACCGAGGGTTAGAATCCGTGGTGCTCCTTGGATGATTTTAAATTCGTACCAAAAAGGCTGAGCTATCCGACCCTCGCTTTTGTTGTTTGCAGGACGATTAGATAGAAGGAAATAAAAAGATTATGCAGGACCATCTCATGCGTTGTTTGTACTCTGGTCTTAAATTAAAGTCAGTTTGTTTTTTCTCTTTAGCTATTTGCTACGATATTAAGTGTTTGTCCGTGTATATAATATATATAGACCCTATAAAGCTATTTCATTCAGACAAGGGACAGTTTCCTGTTTATCTCCAAAAATAAATGTCTTATCGAATCCCTGAGGGAACGAAATTGTATAACGATAAAAAATGTTCGGTTAAAATTATACAGAGGGATGCTTTTTGAATTTGAGGGGATTGAAATCTTACAGTAAAAACGTACAACTTTCTGGGACTAACAAAAGCAATTAAATGCTATGGTCTCCCCTTTGAGACATTAGCTCCCTCCCCATTTGAATTAAATCCAGTAATCAGTCGTAGGAAAGCCGAAATACAATCCAAGTGAATAAACCAGGAAACAGGTCCTGCATAAAACATCGTCATCTTATCAGTCAGCAATAAGATCAGAGAAAACAGATTCCAACTTAACGATTTTAGTAAGTGTCGACTATATCGACGACTCAATTACAAAGGAAAATCCTTTGAATTCTTCACTAATGGACACTGGGCGATCTGTTCCCCTTTAGCTGTTTAACGAGACAAATTCTCTTCTTTCCAGTCTCCGTTAGAAATGGCAATAAACCGAATTGACGAGAAGCATAATACAACGAACGTGGCACCTGGGACTATATACCGGTAAATGGCGTTGAGGGTATTTTTACATACATGTCCTTACTATAAGAATATGGTACGGATATCCATGTTTACATAAACGAGCCGGAAGAACGAAAAGTTAGCAATGAAAGGTAGAAATTGACCGGATTTTGTAAAAGCATTATTCTCTCATCCGTAGCTTATCTTCCGGTCTGTTGTTAGTTTTGCGGGAACCGCATGGCACTTTGGCGCCGCTGTCACTTAGTTAAAGCTTAGGTAAATCGAATGCTTCGACGAGCCAAGGTAAACCTGAATAAGAGAGAATGAGAAGCATATATAATTTTAAGGAAAGGTCAGTACAGAGAGAGAGAGAGAGAGAGAGAGAGAGAGAGAGAGAGAGAGAGAGAGAGAAGGTTACTGTACATACGAAAAAGTGAGTGTCTAAAGAAAACGTATTTCTTGCGGCGAGATTTCACCTTTTAAAAGAGACTGTTGACTTCTGCGTGAAAAGAAACAGTGATGGGCTTCTTCGTGGCAGGACGGAAGTCAGTCAGGAAGGGAACTATCGATCGATCGGTAGTAAAGAAAGGGAACGGGATCAGAAGCTACAAGAAATAAAACCCTGTGGAAGCTTTCGGACCGTCTTACGACCCTCTTCATATACGTGTATATATATGTACGGTACATCGTATAGAAAAGCAGAACTTACTCCCTCAAAAATATTAGCTTTCAAAAAGGTCGCTTCTACCTTGCAAAAGCTCTGTGTACTCGAGTGTGCGAGTGAAGGTCCTGCCTGGAAAAACTTGAAGAAAAACAGTCCCTGTCGACCTGGGTGTTAGGGAACGGATCACGGATGGACGTAGGAACCAAAGGGAAAAAAGGAATGCGTTACGTTAGCGTACCTAGTCCTATGTTCGGGTTTGGTGATAAAAAATTGAAGGAATTCGAAAAAATATGGCAAATACTCCGTTATTCAAGATTACACATAAAAACCCATTCGGATTTATACGAAACCAAAGATACCAAGATTTTTCTACCTAGATTCTGTCACTAGGCTGCTTTACTCAAATATCCTTTAAGGGTTGGGTCAGTTACTTTTGGTCATTATGATCGATTCTTGAGTCGATTCAACTAACGACTATTCGTCCTTTGATCATAGGCTAACTTGCTATCTGTAATGAAACCTTGTACCGATCGACCCTGATAACATCAGACCTTCTTCCTTAGAGATGATTTGCAGACTTAGGCAAGATCTAATTTTGGAAATGGATATACCACTTGTAGTTTTCGCTCTTTGACGGAAAGTGTGTAAAGTAAGGAAATCATAACACCAGATCCCCATTATGATGGACTGCACCGTGTATTGTTTCCTGAATAGATTCGCTGGTACTTGAAAGCTTTGAGGGTCTGAGCTTTTGAGCTTTAGTAATGTCTCAGAAATAAATAGAGAGAGAGAGAGAGAGAGAGAGAGAGAGAGAGAGAGAGAGAGGACTCTCTTATGGAACTATGGATAAGAGAATTATCTTAATTTTGATCCAGGATGTCTAATTTCATTTGGTTAAGCTACGGAGATTGGGTTTTACTAAATTAGTAGCTTATACATCAATCTTGCGATCCAAGAGGGTTTGCTTTGTTCGTTGACCCTGCGGAGGTCTCCCGTTTCCTTACGGCAGTCCACTATCTTCTTATCTAGCCTCTAACCTCAATTGAATCTAGGAAATAAGTTCTAGCTTAGATACGATTGGCCACTCAGTATTTGGTAGGTCTGCTTTCACCTAGTTTTATCCAATGTTGATATATCCTAGGCTGATTTCATAGAAAATCTCTAATTTAGAGCGGAAGCCATTCCGTAATAGTTTCCGCGCCCCGATGGCGCCACTGTCGATTCTATAAACATGCCATCAAGATGCGATTCAGACAGGTCAAACAAAAATTCTACGAAGGGTAAATATGTCTAAAAGCTCAAACAACATTTGAACCTTAGAATTCTAATTCTAATTATATTCATTCATATTCATATATGGTAGTACATATGACTTTACGCGATTCGTCGATAAATTCTGACAGGAAACAATGGATCTGAGAAATTATAATTATATTAATTATAGTTAATTATATTTAGAAATTATAATAATCCTGCGAAACTCTTTCGCATTGTTGTGTTACAGTGCAGCAGTCACGCGGTCAGGTGTTTCGCAGGTGGGCCGAGAAGGAGTAACGAGTCCCAGTGTCCAATGTTACAGAAAGTCGAGAAGCCGCTGTCCTCGACGTTGACCACGGGGACTACCGCCAAGTCAACCATCATACGAAACCATCTGAACAGCACATGCAGCGTGACGAATTCGCCGCATCAGAAGAAGCTCAGATTTCAATTGGCTAAGGAGAGAAAGGCCAGCACTACCCTGGGTATCATCATGAGCGCATTCGTCATCTGCTGGCTGCCATTTTTCGTCCTGGCCCTGGTCAGGCCCTTCCTCAGGGATCAAAAGGATATACCCGCTTCCTTGTCCAGCTTCTTCCTCTGGCTAGGATACTGTAACAGTCTGCTCAATCCCATCATCTATGCCACTCTCAATAGGGACTTTCGCAAGCCCTTTCGAGAAATTCTCTGCTTCAGATGCGGAAATCTAAATCATATGATGCGCGAGGAATTTTACCAGAGCCAGTATGGAGATCCGGTCAATAATTATGTAATCAGGGCTGGTGATAACGAGAGTGGCGGTCGGTTAGAGAGCCACGGAGTGGAGTCCATTGACGTCGCCTCCAATCCTGCCAACGAGAGCTTTCTATGATCCATGTGGTCCACCCTTCAGGTGACCGACCTTAAGAACGATCTGGATGAGAACCACGTGGACTGAGACTTCCGCCGGGGACAGAACGTTTCCATATCACAATGGAATCTGCGTCTCATTTTTTAATCGTTATCGCGGTCAAATAATTGATCCTACCTGTGGTCCTGGAGTCTATGATTTTATCTTGGTTCATCGAGGTCAAGGATCAACCGGATCAAGTCTACCGATTTTTTAAATACTTTTGAAAATCATCGACTGCTCGTTGACTAATATTTTTTTCTTGTATCAATAATTTATACGTTACTCAACAACACGGAGAAAGTGATTAGGACTCTGTATAATGAGTCTTTCTAATCAGACGTGGAAGTCTGCTCCGAGCATTCAATCGATACAGAATGCGCAAGGTACACTGAATCCAAGCTGAGTTCAAGCGGCAGATAATCCATAGTCACAGAGAGGAAGCTCGAATTATACGTAGAAGAAACTATTGCGTTATCGAGTGCAACTGCGTGGACCGGAAATTGTGTCGATACTGAAGCACAAACACCGGAAACGTGTGAAAAATGGTAGCTCCTCTATGAGGAACAAGAAGGCAGCTTGTCATTTAGGAGATGGATGAAGAAGGAATGGTCAGGAGGATACTTTACCGGAGGATGGCGATTTGAGTGATTAATGAAAAGAGCATGATTCAAAAAATGATAAGAACAAGAAATAAGGGACCAGGGGAGAAAAATAGGTGATGCCAAAAAAAATGATGTTACGAACGCGGGGAAGGGAAAAAAAATTACACGTGGCGGGAGGAATCTAAAAGTAATCGATTTTCTTGGTTTCATAAAATTTCGAATTTTCCCGACAATCAAAAATGCGTCTCGTCGTTCCTATCAGGTTCGCCATTCTTTTCTGACTTTTCCGAATAATGGAGGCTCGAATTACTCGAAGTACGTTCGGGGAAATTTCCCTCTGCTAATGGAAATTTCTTTAAGTACGTACCTACGTCAAGAGTTCTCTTTTGCAACGTTACGTCATTCGACAACTAGCTGGGACTCTCTTTTCGAAATGGCACCAGTGAAGTTCTCGTGGCAATGCTAATATTCGCTTGAAGACAGTTTGATGCCTACTTCGTGGCTTCTTGTGAGAATACAGATGGGTCGAGTTGGTGAAACGTGTGCTTGAAACTATTTTCAGTCAAGTGGAGTGTAATTACGGTTACGTAATACCTACGTTGGAATTTCATCTACAGAAAGTTTTTTTTGCCATTATCAAGACATGGAAAAGTGAAAACTCGTCATTGGATTTGACATGTAGGATTTCGTGATTGTGTCGAATAATAATGGTGAATCTAAAGAAGACAATGTCATCATGAGTGCGTGATATTTTCGTTGGACTTTTCTAAATAAAATTGGAATTGCCTATATTGAAATTTCTGCGAAAAGTTGTGTCGCGAATAATATTGCCAGTGGAAACAAACATATGAAGTGAGTGCGTTAATTTCGATTTTAAATTTTACGTGACCATTTATCGAAAACGACACGTCGAGTATACTAAAAATAAATGAACTAAAAAAGACTACGGAAGTAACGAAATCGACAAAGATACCAAATTTTGGGACATTAATGAGATTATGGTCATGGGTACTATTTATGAGAGAAAAGTACATTCTGACTGTTGCGAAATCTTGTGACAATTTTGTCAACTGAAAGGTATTACGTTTTTTTTTTGGAAAAAGTTTCGAAGTCTGTTAAAACTTTCCAAGGGCAGTTTCGCGTTGATATTTATATATATGTACTGTGCAATATACATTTTTAGTTGAGCAACGATAACGTATCGCTCTTATTTTTTAATTTTGCGCTATAAACAAGGTATTTATAATTAATTTCCGTATGAACAAACGGTTCCTTTTTTTAAATATATTTATGTCACTTTAGTATTAGGTAGTGCCTTAAAGATCTAAGCGCGTACCTATTACCAATGATGATACAAAAAAAAATTAGTTCAAGTTCTGTTTTTTCATTCAAAATTTGGCAAGCTCTCTATACCTCCCAATGAAATGGGCCAGATCTCATAAATACCAAACGACGTCAATCTCGTTTTCAAATGATAAATCGTTCCAGGTGATTAAACAAAACTCGGATGATTTCGAAAACTGTTTAAATGGCCGACATTCAAGACATACAGTGATGTCTAGAATGCCGTGCCATTTTTAATTATTTATGCAATAACTAAGCAAATCATACGAAAAAAAATTTTCGCACAAAACTTTTCGCGTTATCATTTCCACGAATAGCGGAACAACCGACAAAAAAAATCGTCGTTATGATAGACCACGAGAAGATGTCGGTAAATTTTGAGTAGCTAGCAAAAAAAAAAACAGAGAATTCGAAAATTCAATCCGACAAGAATTTCGTAAATTTCATAAATTTCATTAAAGACGATCTACATAATAGAAGCGTGTAATTTCTAACATTTAGGATTAACGCCATAAACGTGCAATACGAAGTAATTTCAAATGGATCAGGAAAAAACATTGTTGGTTTCGTCATTAAATTCAAACGAAGAATATGACTTCGAAGAATACGCTAATGTTCTAAAATCGTATATCACAAATGACCTACTTAGACTATTTTGTTATTCCAACAATTGGAGAAATTTACATACTAGACGTATAGTGCATGCCTTGGTCATTTCAGACCCCTGAGCTTTCGTGGTCTCAGTGATTTAACATAGATCGAATCGAAGATAGCTCTTGATTATCCGACATCATGGAAATTCAGGAACCCCATTACTGTGCATTGAATCATTCTAAATCGACGTATTTCGCATAAATTCATTGGCTCACTCTAATTTCTACATACATACCCATCAATTCGAACAGACTCTCGTTCTATTTATACGAAGCGTCTGATTCGTTCCTTACTGAAGTGCATTGCGCAATCTTGCGTTGGCGCCAAATCGGAATTCCTGATAACCGTCATCGTCTTTGGATGACAGATTTTGCTATCCTTTAAGAAAAAAGAAAAGGAAAAAATTTTACATCATACATATAACAGTAATTTAAAAAACGGCAATAAGTCTCGAAAAATGACATGTGAAATTTATTAAATAATATATGATTTGACGCTATGCTAAATTGAATTTGAATTTTCATGGGGCGGATGATCAGTGGCGTCCTTACAACTTCGTGATAGCCATCCTCCATTAGCATCGCGACTGAGTGGCTTTAAGGTTTTTGAGGTTATTCCCATGGCAGTAATATATAATAATGTTATTAAAGCAAATTGCGTCCTCATAGGAAAACGGTAACAGCTATACGAAGACGTAACCACAGTCTAATAGGCAGCCTCGTAAATCACCATATACATATACATGTGGCGTGAGTTTCCTAACCGTCACAGACTCTATATTTGGCTCGAGGAATTTTTCATACCGTCATACATACTCGACTCATAATACTTTGAGGGGACTTATTAACGTTTCGATTCGTAAGGAGATGACCCCTCAGACTAGAACTGATGTCATTGTCGAGCTGTATATTTGATTTCTCATCGAACACTGATTGTACGTTTAAATCAAATTAAAGCAAATCCAGTCAAGCCGAATTGAACCAAAGTCAAATCGAGTCAACTCCAGCCTGGCAATTCTCATGATTATCCCCCGATGCCCGCTTAGCATACCATCTTAAGTAGATGCTTAAGGCATCTTGGGAGGGAGGGAGTGAGGGAGGGATAGGGAGGAGAGAGAGAGAGAGAGCATTATAGCACACCATTAGGTACAATACGCTACAGATACTCCATCCTTGGGAATAGCCAAAGCTCTAGAGTACTATCAGTGAAAAACCTCCCCAAAAAAGCTCATCGAGATTGAAATTCCAAAATTCAACTTAAGTCTAAAAATAAAATAAATTATCCGATCGACCAGAAGAATTTGAATGTTACATTTTTTTTGTAATAAAAATGTATATCTATAGAAAAAGCTCATGGAATAATAATAATTCATTCACTGGAACGTGATACGTCACAGGGAATCGTCGACTATATCATAGAACACGAAGATGTAAGAGCTTTCTTCGTTCGAATTTGCGGCTGGCAAGTAAGCTTGGCGAAGCTCGAAAGCTCCTTCTCGTTAAAAAGTTAGCGACCCCAGCGTCGACTGACATTCCTTTCTTCCTTTCTCGAGTAAAGGCTTGCGGAAGACGAAGAATCACATCTGTCAAGCTCGCTATGTGTTATTCCTTGTCTGATAGGATATACACACTTTTCAAAAGCTCAAGCCAGTACCAGTGTGAAAACAGTGATATCAATCCAGATACAGATAGAAGAGCTTGAATCAACTGGACTTGACTCAACTTACTAATTTAATCCTTCGCAACGAGTCTCGAGCTTTTCAACTTGAAAGTTTTGTCAAAATGAGCTTTGCGAGCTAGACGTACATCTCGGGAGTTCAAAAACGTGTATAAATTCGTATCTATGCATTTAGACAAAAATTAAAGGACAATGTCACGCGGCTCGAATTTTCTATATAAGTAACTAAGCGATAGAATTGCTTAATCGAAATAGAAAAGTATTAATGTAGTATACGTAATCGTAGGCAATTGTTAAAGTTCATGTACATTTTCTGTAAATAACGCATCTATACTATAGATATATGTAGATAAGGGAAATGAAAAGGAAAGATGCATCTCCATACGTAAAGTGTATTGAAGATGCGCGTAAGAGTATATTTAAAAGTGAATTAGTACAGTGTACAATAGAGGGCGAATGGAATACTTTGAAAGTTTTCAGGAACTATTTATTCGTACTTGAAAAAAAAATTAGAATCTTCTTTTTTTTTCTTTCATCTTCTTGTTTCATATTTAAAGCTCGTTCCTAGGCTGATTAAGCTGGCTTGTCAATTTGACCTTTTTCTAAATGACTGCGTGAACGAATGTTGCGTATCTACGCCTATGCGTATGTTTTACTTGCAAGTGACTTCCAGTGCGTGTACCGTGTGTGTAATCGTACTGAATGAATTAGACGAATTAGATGAAACAGAAGTTACATACATAAATAACGATTAGAAATCGGGGCATTTTTGTATTTCGAGGTCAGAAACTTCACGAAGGTTCAGATTGAAGTGAAGTTTGCAAAATGAAATTGTACTCTATCTGACTGAAAATTAGACAAAGCTTCGAAGTTTCATGATCATTGTGAATATGGGAATGGAACCAAAAAATCTATATCTTTCCTCGAATCTGTGCTTAGAAGAATGTCAGATAATGTTTCGAAAAAAAATAGAGTATTGTTTATCTGAATCAAATGAAATTCAATGTTTATGTTGACGCGGCGACAGATTCAATTTTCCGTGAAACCAAAGTACCGTTTGACTTTTGACTTAGAGTGGCTTATGGTATCTGTAAATCTGTAATACTATATCTATATACTGTATACCGAGCAAACCTGATTCTGCAATTTTTGAGAAATGAAAAAAAAATAAACACGGGATCATGAAAAGATCTTGATACATCCAATTATATAATATGGAGGCTGTGTCTTGAGATACATAAATTTAGATAAAAAACTGTATTTACACATGGGATCCTTCGATAATCGAAGGACGCGCAGTGCTTTTGAAATCGCGAATGCAGAATGAAATTATTTTTTTGTCACATTAAAAAATAAAGGAGCTGTAACACTTTAGCTTTAAATTAGAAATCTCTGTCGTGCAGCTTCAAAGGATGTAAAATGAAATCTAGCGGAGTCTGTAATTTTCATTTACACCCGACTAGTCATTTTCTCGCCGATGCAAGAATTTTCTTTCGTAGAACTAATTTTCTTCCCTGACATTATTCAGATGCAGAGTATAGTAATGGAATCGCCATCAGGTATAGCACGCGAGATTTTTGCACTCATGCCTTAAACGTGGTACACACGTATTATCGAGCCACTTCAATGCTCTCGTACAGCTATCGCACTTGAATAATCACAATATCATGAAAAATGCATTTTTTTATATCCATACTAAAAAAGAAAATACTTTCATCAATATCTTGAGCATGCGGTACACACATGTTTCGAAATAACAAAAATTGGTGATAATGCTCGAATTTGTTTTTAGAATTTGACAAGTTGCCACCGAGGAAGATGGAGAGATTCAAAATTACGTGATAATAGTCTTAAAAAAAATGCCATTCGATAAATATATATATGATCGATAATATAAATCAGTCATTGTATCTGTATATTGTTTACAAAGAAAAGCTTCGAGTCTCGATATACGGAAATCACATATGCTTCCGGTTGATGGTTCTGAACTAAAATAAAAAAATGCCCCGATTTCTCGCACAAGGAAAATACGTATCTCTGTATCGTGACGATGAAGATAAAAAAAATAAAGAAACAATGAGCGTGAAAATTTTTTATTAAAAAAAACTGATCATCCTCCTGTCTATTTTTGTTGCTTCATTTTATACCTCCACTTTATTCCTTCCGCCTGGAATCTACAGCAATCGTGGTTGTATCTTAATACTAATATGAATACTGTACAGGGATGGAATATGATCGCTGCAGTTGGAAAAGCGAAATGGAGAATTCTATTTGAAGACGTGAAAATCTAAATACGAAGAAAACCTGGGAAACCCGAATTAAGTCCGAGAGAATAGGTGAGACTGGGAATCCCATATCGATTTGATATGGGAATTCCGGCCCTAAACGGATATTGAAAATCAAGTTCATCATTCGCCCGGATTTTTTGCAAAAATACGATAAATTCCCTCAGAGAATTCGAACGAAAGTCCAAAGAATAAATAGTCAAATAAAACAAGTGACTCTCTGGGGTAGAGATACAAGTTGTTGGACATTAAATCCCTGAAATGGGTAAACTCATGGCGAATACAAAGGAGCCGTCCCGATTGATTAGAAAGCGGAGATAAAGAATCTTTTGAGGCGAAATAAATAAATCCCTGACAAATTTATTTCTATGCTGTCACATATTTCCACTAAAAAATCATTAACTTCAAAAAAAAAAAAAAAAAAAAATATCACCGCTACGAAACTTTTCCTAAATGACAAGTAAAAATCAAAGTTTTTATATCACTGATTTTTATTAATAATTTAATTTTTCTATACCATAGAATCTGCTTAAAAACTTGTATATTATCATTCTACGGGTCGATGCCATAAAAAGTTTTTATTTTTTATTATCAACTCTTTTTTTTACTCTATTTTACAAGCCCTCGGTATATTTGCTTATCGGATCAAAGAAAATTTTATAAACGTAACGTGATACGATAACACACCAAAGTGTATCCAGATAGATTTGTCTTTTCAAGAGAAAGTACCTGCCGGTAAAAATAATTTTTTTGAATACTATTTCCATTATTTCCCCTGAAAGGGGATACAAATTCAACTAATCAGAAATCCGACCTACCGTTTTCACTAATGCCTCCTCAACAGAACCATTACCGAGAATCCTCTATTCCGCCTACCGCTTCGCCAAGACATCTGAGCGTAAGTGGTATCTCTCCCTTAAAATCCTCTCATCCCCTTCACTAAACTAGACTGATAAAACTAATTGCATACCTACTCCAAAACAATTCTCTCCTATTCGATCGCTAAGTACAAGCATAAATAAGTCTGAAATTCAATGGACATTGACACTGAGGCATAGTAATCCAACCATTGTTTTCGCAAAGGGCGGCCATCTTTTTATTTCAATATGCATGAGATTACAGGAAACCGTGCAAAACTCATACAGCGATCGCTGTATGTCTATGGGTTTTCCAAGAGACCTCGAATTTCCATTTAAAAGAAAAATATTCACGGGGGTAGGAAATACCTTTCGTAGATCTTCACGCTATTCCGTACACACTATGCGAACAGTATCCATGCACCCCATACGAATGCATCTATGATAAACGTAGATTTCATAAAATATGCAACGACTGCAACAGCCTTGCACTTTCCAGCGTGGAGAAACGTTGTGGACGCTTCGGTATGTGTAGTTATGGACGACCGCGTACCAAAGCGGCCTGAAATTGGAAGCCGGTATATATTTTGTCCTTCACGCAGCCATTTCTCTAGCGGTTGTTCAGCCCATTACAGGGACAGCTCCATTCAACGTTAGACTTTGTTTAAGCTTTTTCCCTGGAATTTCTTTATCGACTCGTTTACCTAGTCACATTTTTTTTCTTCCTCGAGCAAAGAGAAACAGCGCGGCGACTCCTTGCTTATCCATGGATATTCGCATTCCTTTCTTTTTATCTTTGCCCTCACGATCGTATTAACCCACAATATACAGCAAAATAATAACGCAAATATATCACCTTATGTTCCACATCATTTTACAAAGTTTTCTGTACACTCGAACAGTAAAGCTATATGACAATTTGAATAAAAAATTAAAAATTCATCAGTTACCCAAAAGTATTCCAATGATTGAAAGCCCATCAGAGAACCATCAATTTATAAAAATCCAGTCACTTCGAAAAATTCAGAGACCACTTTGATCATCTTCCCACGGAGGAAGGGCCCACAAAAATCTGTAAAAAGAAAAGGAGATGAGAACATAAAATTGAATCTTAAAGTTTATACATGAAATAAATGCGATTTGAGTAGAATGACATTTAATGTAAATAAGCTCAGATCAAGAAGAATAAGAGCAAAGAAAAGACTAAAAGAATGAAGGAAGACAGACGCATACTGAAGTTTTGAGTAGCAAAGGGAAGACAAGGGTCGACTAAATCTTGGCCTCGTTTCTGGTTTTTCCAAGCGTGGAAAACAGTAATACAAGGGTAGGATTTTCGGGGAGCGACCCATAAAAGAACTCGTAATACAACCTTTTTCTTCGCGAAGCAAATGCATACATCTTTATGTATCAACATTTTCTCTTGAAATAGAATTCCATTCGGCGAGTGTACTTCCGGATATCTCTACTTACATTTGCGTGAAAGGATTTTCCTAGACGACAGCTTCGACTCCGACATGAAAAATCTTTATTCGCTACTGCACCACGTGCACTGTGACATATGCCATATGTATATGTCTGTATATATAGGTATTCGGTGTACGTAGAGTGCATATTCCTTTTCTGAAAAAAAAAAAAACAAGAGAATGAATGCGTGACTCGCGACGTTTGCGCTATCAGACAGAAAAAACTCCCTGTTACTAAACTTATCAAACTTTCAAGCCTGCACTTCGCGTTACACGATAGTTGACTCTAGTGCTTTTACCTATTCAGAGAAACTTCAATGTCTCAAGTTTAACTCACGAACATCTTTAATTCAATAAGTTCACTGTACATCAAATACACGTTGGATCTAGACCACTAACAGATATACTGTTTCCCTAGTTAGTATGCCGTTATACTATTCTTACATAATGACATATTACCTAAACGCCGTGATTCGTTAACAATGGTTATTAGTGTTCTTTTTAGTCTGAACTTTGTAAACAAACATTTCAATAGCGAATAATTCAATTATATTTAAATAATGAATACAAGTGGGTCTCTGGTGAACCATGAGAAATGCAACTGCTTTGTGCTTATTTCGAGCATTTGTCAAAGAGATCGCTGTTTTTGCGAAATACCTCACTCACCGGATGCCGTGAAAACAGCCCGGAAGTGGTGTAGGGGGCTGTCTTACCGAGGAGCGAAAAAAAAATAAGGAAAAGGGGTGATGTCCCACTGTGAGGACAGGCGTGTATAAGTGGTGGGTACGAGGGAGGGTTTTTAGGTAGAAGGTAAAAAGGCCGAGGGTAGAAAAAGAAAAAGAAAAGTAAATAATAAAGTGATGGCTCTAAAGCCGTTGAAAAGACAAAACGCTCCGAAGTCTTCCACCAGGAAAAAGTGTTTGCGGGACTATTTTTCAGCACCTTCACATAAGCTACGCGTTATGTCCATTTGGCTGCAATTTATTCACCTTATAAACGGCTATTAGTCCAAAGACTGAAATTGCACGAATTTAATTAATAAAAGGGACACTGTGTCCTCTTGGTAAAACTGATGAAGAACTTTTCAATTTGTCCCCTTATGAGTATAATTGTAAATTCGTGAAAATCCTTTGATTATACCAATCACGGAATTGAAAAGACAGAACTCGTGGTGGACCAGATCCATTGGAGGTTCGAAAGGAATTTCGTATATTGGATTGTTGAGTAATTTTCTTTTTCATCCAGGCAAGATAACAGATTATCTTCTCACAGAGTCTCGTGTAATTTCTGGTACCGAAAATTTATGGTTAGGGATACCTAAATTTAATCTGTAACATAACCACACGAACTATCTAGATACCAGTGGGTGTTCTACTTCAAGAACGTTTTGGGATAACGCCTAGGGATATACGTGGCACGATGCGTCTTTGTAGGGATAGACCAAACGGAATCTCAATTACCGGATGCAAATTGGCCTAGGACATTCGTACACTTACTATATATAGCAGTCACGCCTAAAAGGGATTTCCACGCTATTCAAGTATTAGATAAAACTAATCCGCACTCTTTCAATGTATACTAATAAAATTGTTTTTATATATTACACGGTTTGAGTTTTTTGAAAAAAAATTTGCTCCGTACAGGAATCGATCCAGCGACGGGTGAGATAATTTACTGGTAATAATTTCACGAATTATTTGCATAATTTTTAAGTAGGAAAAAGGGTGGATCATAAGGGTAGCAGCAGGGGAACGCTTCAATCTTCGGTTAGGTTAATAATGAAAACCTTATAATCATGACTGTTATTGGTGTTCGTTAGAAGTTCTTCAATTTTACCTCCCTTCCTATTCCCAGGGCACTTTTCTCCTTCGGGGTCGGACGTCAATTTCGTCCCCTTCGACTCTCCTACCAAGATCCAAGGGCCGAAATTAATTACTCTTACCTAATTCCTAAGAGTGGGACAACACCTGACACAACTTAAATTAAAAATTAAGTGAAGTAACTGTCATTATCAAAAGTTTCTAGTCGTAAGGATAATATTGCACTAAATAGGCGTTTACCCGAACAATAGTTTTCCATTTACCAAAAGTCTCAGCCAAAAAAAATTGGCGTAAAAGTGTAGCGACCCTTTTTGCTAGAATGAAACATCTGAGTTTCACGGAGGGAAAATTTGAAAATTTTTGTTTAGACGTTTTATAAAAAATAGGGAATTTTCTTTTATGCCAAAGATCAAATGTCAAGAAAAAATATACGTTGCCAATTGTTAAAAATTCTACTACATTTCATACAAGGCAATGCTACCCCAGTTATCACTTAGGTTGGATAAATTATTTCACAGCTGTTTACTAGCTAAGCCATAAGGAAAGAGACGATTCTTTTGGGAATATGAAAGCACTCGTTGGATCCTCGTTATATCCTTTATGCGATATAACCCGACTATGAATGTTTGATACGCCATATTATCTCACCGGGACAGAATGCATCCTGCATTCCCTAAGTGGTCCATTACTATTAATGGTCCGAGAGATCCCCCAGCAACTTTCGAATTTTCCCAAACACGAAAAACCTAATGGTGAGAATAACATGATTTTGCATCTGAATGATTCAACGTATGCAAAGAAGGGCAGAAGCTAAACCAATGGTATTTCTTAGTCAAAAAATAAAAGAAAAAAAAAGGTGAAGAAAGAACAAGAGGGAAAATTCTCTTTTGTTTATTTTTCATAAAACGACATTTTAACCAATATGAATTCAATGGTTTCCGAGGTAACAACATTGAATACCGAATTCCATTTCCTTCGCCATACCCGCCTCCTAATGCTCTTTACCAAAATCCAATCAACTTCAAAGCACAAAAAGGTGATAAGGTAATCATGAACTTTGAGGTGACATTTTTTAAAACGAAAATTTCGTAACCAAATGATTACTTTTTATCAGTATAGTTGTATTCGTATAGGTAAATATAAAGCTCACATAAGTTAAAAATGTCACGCGATATATTCGTCTAAAAATTATGCACAATAAAAATAATTTTAAAAAAGCGATCGGAAATATCTTTGAAATAAAAAAATTAAAAAATACTTAATTCCGAAGGTATAGTCCATACCGGAAATAAATCGGCCACGGTACTAAATGCGAAAACAGCTGATTTTCCATGGATGCAACCAAAAAATATAATATTTATAAGATAAGGTCTTCAATCTTCATGCCTGTCAGTTGGTAAGCTTCGCAACAAAGAGTAAGCTCTGTAAATGTCAAAGAACGAAATGCTGGAACACCCTTTTCCCATTTACAGTATTGGTATAAAAAGCTGTATATCCCATAAAGAATTTCCTTCTAATCGTACATGTATGTGCTTTTGGCAGGATCAAAATAATGCAAAATATGAACGAAAGAGCTTTAGCAGACTTAGTATATTTGTCTTAATGATTCTTTTATATTAAACACATAAATATACTTACCTAACGAAAGTGCAATAAAGAAGATATTTTTGAAAAAAAAAATCGTATAAAGCACAACGAGGAGCAATGAGTCACCGAGTACGCATTTATCTACTAGGATATTACGTACTGTCCATTTTTTCAAGTTTTCGTACACGTTTGATTAATTGCAATTCGGTGACCAAAGGCATTACCATAGTGTACGTGTACATCCATCATAAATATCCCATGGTCATGCGCAGTTCATCAATAACAAACTGGGCAGCATTTATGAAATCATTACATGTGACTGTAGTTTTCTAAAAATATTAGGAAACAAAAGAGATCGAATTATCGATATTAGAATCGATATTAAGGATATTAGAGCATTACGTATATTTCCTGATGCAGTAAAAGTCCAGAACAAATAATGTTACATATGAGGTAAATATCAGTTGTATTTTTTCACTCATGCAAATTATATTAATAACGATGCTATTAGGTTATGTTGATACTGTGAAAATTATTGACGTCTAATGTACGTATTACGAGTAACGATTGTGTTTTTTAGTACCAGTATGACGTTGGAAAAGTCAATCGATGATTGTCGGAATATCTCCAATGACAAATGGAAATTCCATCAGACAAGCAATGGAGATATGTATATCGTTCCTTCGGATAATAGTATCCATTAAATGTAATCGATATCTCTAACGGAATGACTATTACAGTATATTGGAAAAGTATCGATTTTCCTATACGAAATATCCTAGGGAATTATTCATGGAACCATCATCCATGACGGAAAACTATAATCGGCCCTGTTCGAATGCAAATAATGCGGTGAAGCGTTACTGCGATGCGTCGGAAATCAGCGACGTTCCGACGCCACACGCCAATCATATGTAAATCAAGCTTGAAAGTCCAAGGCTAATTTGTCTACGTATGCAGGCATATAGAAAATTAAAAATTATTTAGAAAACCCAAAATATTGGAAAAAGAATAAATATAAAGATAGCTGTTTAAATTTAAAAAAATGTGTATACATGTATTTCCTAAGAAGTGCAGGGGATGAATGAGATTCCCCACTGGTCCAGCGTCACGTTCGGAAACGACGAAACGCTCGTGCCTGATAGGGTTGGCATGGGGGATTGTTCAGTGGTAGAATAAAGATTTCGATTGGGGTGAAGATTCGACCGTTTTCTCGCGAAATTGGAGACGGGCTAACTTGAAATTGCTGTAGTCTGACCACACGGCTCTTTTGATGGCCTCTGGAATTTCGTGGCACTCGTGAGCACGAAATAAAACAGGCTCCCTTTGAAGATGGCGGGATCGAATGATGCTAGCTTCCTGAATAAAAGTGGCTTTATTTTCTTACGCTATACCATCTCCAATAGAAATACTTCCTAGAATATCACGAAAACAAGACTGCCATTCAGTACGAGGAAAAAGGCTTCCTGACTCTGCATAAGAGAAGCACGTTCAGCATATCGAAACTATCTGAATAGACACAAAACTAGAAATCAATGATAAACAGACAAAGACTCAATTTTATCGAAGCAAATAAAAATTCAATTTTCAAAGTTACAAGAGTATATTACGAAAAATAAGTGGGAAATCAAATCATCCTGATACGCATTTAATATACGTTTTGATTTTTTTTTCGTGAAAAAAATGAAATGAACTGCGTCACTTTCATACAGACAGACGATTAAAAATATTTATTGCAATTTTACAAAATTTCGTGTGAATCAACCTGTACGATTGAGTACGATTTATGTAAGTCATTAGTTTTCATTGGGATGAAATCACGTGATAACGAGGAAATAAATGCCAGCTAGCTTTTAATGGAAACTGTTATATATAAATTAAACGCGAAAATGTAGTGCCATTTGATGTACGTATATACGCGGTATATAAAAGCGCGTCGCGGACGGAGTCATTAAAAAGAGCGCATAGGTTGAAAATCGATATTAACAGGTGACGAGGAAAAGCAGGTTGCGAAGAATGTACATTGGCAGTTTGGCATTCTCACAAAGAGTTCTTTGACATTGGAGAATCCTTGAAAGCCGATACTGGCTGCTGGCTGGTTACGTAAAATAATTTGTAAGGGTCTTATACGAGATAGACTGAAAAGCACGTGATAAAATGAAAGGGCAGTTATTGGATTTTTGTACTCTCGAATTGCCTGCATTTTGTAGACCCCTTGAACTGTGTAAAATTTCATAAAAATCCTTCTGCAAATTTTAATCAACTCGATTTACTGGACTGAAACAAGAAACTTAATAACTGTGTATCTCCGTATCACAGAATAATTTTTTGATAAATGAAAAAAATAATGAAATTGAAATAATCTATTTTTATCGCGTCTCTAATTGCTTGATTTCGAAGGACAAACATAATACGATTAATTAAAACAGGAATTAAATTGTTGCTAGAACCTCCAGTGAATTATAATCGAAAAATGTATTAACGATACCCAGCAGGTCGCTAATTACGTGAAACTGTCGCTGTACTATGGTAATATTCCCAACTTCACACTGTACCATCCAATTAGTTGAACGGTGAACAAAAAATTTACCACCCACCTGATATCGATGACATAGATTCCATTAGAATTTGACAGTTTCATTGGCACCATCTGCAGCCGTCGTATGCTCCATATCGTTCATGCATGTTCCAATCAGCGGTAACAATCCAAACGAACACCTAAAAAAAATGGTAAAGTTTAGCTTCCTAAAAAAATTGCAAAAAATTTAATGTAACATTCAACAAGTTTCACGTTGATCAAGTGACAGAATTCAAATAGCAACGTCATATATCTATTACTTTGAGATTTCAAAAAAAAAACAATGAAAAAAGAAATAACAATAGCACAATTTATTAAAATTCCTTGCATTGATTTAATCAATAATTTATCAATTTGATTTACCTATTGAAACGAGTTAATGAAAAATTTCTTTTCCCTATAACAGCCAATTAAACGGCGCAGTTAACAATTGTTAACTGATGTTATATATTCACAAGGAAATCAGCCAGGCTGGTACTAATGGCCAGTAATACCAATTTCTGTCGGTTAATCCAATTACGTGTGACCGTATATTGCGAATTCATTAGAATAACAAGATCATTAGCTTGTAACACTACTGTCATAACATTTAAGCACGTTTATCATACCTGTAAAATGATAATACAGTCCATAGACAATAGTAGTGAAAAAAGATGCAATTATGCTGCTACTAAAAATTATATGATATCTATCAATTGCATTTTCTATGAGCAAACTGGATATTCAAGGATCAATATTAACGTTGCTATGGCGATATAATTTTATGTGTTTTAATAATAAATTTCGGGCATATCAAATTTGCAGCTTAAAGCAATAACAGTCACGTACCTGATCACAGATTATTTATTGATTTCCGATCTAGATTGGTTTCCTAGTACAAACAACAACTTAAACGAACACACAGGTGAGCATAATCTGTATACCGTTCAGTACATGCGCATCCCTCCGTGACTATGTACATTGAAGATACTCCCTTGAAAATGTCATATCACATATCTAATCACAGTATTGTGTATACGTTTATTACGACCAAGCACACGCGGGACATTGACAAGTTAAATTCTTAAGCATAAGTGTTACAAATATGTAGCGTACATATATACCTATATATATCGTGATGTATTATATGATCTACCTAACTAGAAAATAAGTACTGCGATTATATTGTTATACAAATGTACTTCTTGCGCGAGTATCCATTACCATTTTTGTTTCATAGATCCTTAAAATAATGTCACAAGACAAAATATCTAAGAACAGAATAAGAAATATTCAGTGATATACATTCTACAATATTTTCATCGTTGACACAACAGTCGAACAAATATTTAGTCAACGAAATTTCAATACGAAAACACCAATACAATCTATGTTAAATTTGAGTAGAGAGTCGAAATTTAATTGCGTTTAAACTCTGTAGACAGTGGATTCTCGCTGCTCTCGCCAACTTTGTTATTTTCATTTGCAAATTCTCTTCCAGAGTTTTACTTACCTGTAAGAATTCTCCATTGCCGAGGAAAAGTATGAGTGTAAACTCGCTAGGACATTCGATACAACAGCGCGCAACGCCGTAGCGGCAGAGTCGCGAAGCTCCAGGTTTTCCTAGAGAATTATTAAGGTCTATTGATACCTCAAATACATGGGAATGAACCTTTCATGCGACGCAATAGTCTTGTTAGAAAATTGTATCTATAGTAGGTAGCAGGAGAAGCGAATGCGCGACCTCATTTCTCTTGGGACTTCCTATCGTACGTTTCTGGAAAGAAATCTCATTTCCGCTTCTTACGTCGACGGTAAAATCTCATATCTACAGATAAGCAAAGAGGAGCCAATGGCTGTGAGAACAGTGAAAAATCAGTTAGCTCAATGAAAAACGATCCTGATAGTGTATCTGCGGAAAAAAAAATAATAATGATCGACATTATTTTAGAGATCGACGTTAATGAAGCGCGAAATTCAAATAGCCCAAGACGGAATCGTAGAGACGTAGGCGAAATTGGCCCATCCGCTGGCAAGAAGGATCATAGAGTTATTTATGGACCTCCACGTGACATCAATTAGCATGGAAAACGTAATTGCTTCTAAGTGGATAAAGACATCAATTCACAAAAGCAATTAACAGTCGGTCCCTTGTTCATCACGACCCTTAGGAACCATCATTGACTCTTAACGCTACAGCAAAATGAATCAAGAGCGTGAAGATGCCTTTTTTGCTAGAAGATCAACATTTTTCAATTAAATTGTTCAATCAGAAATCTAATTAGTTTACGTAATTTATAAGGAAAAGAAATTGAAAATTGATTTAAGTTCTACTTTACTTAAATATATACCTTTTTTGTACTATAATTTCTTCTTTCATCGGTATAACGTTTCTTGATTATTACTCCAGACTCTATATTATCACCATAGAAATATGACATTCAGTGAGTTTATCTTTAACTTTTCAAACAATATCTATCCGCACTGAGTTTGCTGACTTCGAAACAGCAGTAGGTACGACCGTAGTGAATTATACGAATATTTCCATGAAATTCTCAGACTTGCAACAAGTCGCAGACACCAGTAACCTAGGCAAATAACCAATAAAGTAACTTTAGCGTTTCTTCTCCAAACATCCATTAGCATGCAATTACCAATGTTCTGATTAATTCGTTTTTTTTTTTCTTTCTACTCAAAATTGTAGCCCTCGCTCGCTTTAGTGAGTGGCTAAGTGAGTGGTTAGCGTAAATTACTCCTTGGTGATTCGAATCTCATGATATTCTTAGAGCTTTCGAAATAGCGAGGATAAACTTCCATCTGAAAATTATAGGACAAGTGAGAGACACCTTAATGAAGCTGAAGGACGAGAAAGGAAAATCCTTTAACGTAATTCCGAGATGGGTATAATAACGCTGAGTGTTCCTCGTGAAATTTCTTCCACCAAGAAACTAAAACCTAAATGACTGTGATCGAGTGACCAGGGATTTCATCCCGAAGTTCAGAATCTTTGGCATTTCTCAATAAAAGCATACTAGCGTTAATAAAAATTAAACGAAAAAAAAATTTAATCTCTCGCTAGATATAAATAAATTCAACGTTTTTCCCACTGATGCAATTTAATTGTAAATTTTTTATCGATTTCATAAATTGTACATTGGCGTTTCAATCACTGATTATTTAATGTATGGAAATTAATGACATTTGATTTCTCGTCCAGTGATCTTTTACTTCTTGAAACGTAGATACTGAATAAGAAAGTAATTTTAATAATTCTACAGACTCATCCCTCGTAATTTCTATTAGCTACGGTTATACAAAAAACCTTGTCAACTCCTCAGTTCCGCATAGGCCTGCCTTTCCGACTGCTTGGTCATGGGAAGAAGGGAAAACGTACAAAGTGGAAACTCAAAGTCGCGCTAAAGAAGGTTACCGCTCTATTCTTGTCTCTGTGACAAATGTTCGGAGATTCCCTTGCCCGATACGAGCGAACTGATGTCTCCTTTAGGCGACAAATAAATGACGTCGGCCGAAAAAGCAATTTGCTGGAAATACCTCTAAGCATTGAATATATCGCAGAATAAGGTAATGGTAAGAAATTTGACGGATACAAAATTCCGATTAAAAAAACTGAGGAATTAAACGGTAAAATTAATTAAAGCCAAAACTCAAATTATTTTTCAAAATTCGAGTTCGACTTTAAAACATCTCCGATAATGGGAAATGATATATAATTGAAAAATTCCACAATGCCAATCGTCGAAATCCAATTACAAATTTCCTTTGAACCCATTATAACAACTTTTCATATAAGACATACCGAACAGCCGTGACAGTGACACTGTGTTTAGAAATACTAAAGCTCCTCTGCTATCTACACGTCGAAAATCTATTTCTATGTTTTCCTTGGCATAGAAACGCATAACCCAGATACGTCCAGGACTTCTTTTAAATGGATATGTCCGAAGTACATCTGCAAGCTAAGAATAGAACGAGCATACCCCCATATTATGTCTGCTAACGAAGAGAATAAAAAAATTAATTAACACTTTTACTGCTACGGCCGATTGACATGAACGCTTCTATAAATAGATATATCGACCAGTAGCAATGAAAGGATAAAAGATCTTACAGTGTGATTTATGAAAAGTCATTCGGACAGATATTGACAGTATATACTAAAAATAAAACTGCTATAGTAGGTGTACAGCCTTAATTGACGAATTGGTCACGTAAATCCGTACTTACAACTTTTCTGTTTCTTTTTTCTTCTTAGAATTAGGTGAAAATCGTGCCGCGTCTATATTGCATGCAGCACGCATGGATATTTCATTCGATTTAACAGTTACGGAAACGCCTAAATTTTGGCATTCGTTGAGTCATTTTTCATGCGTCATATTATACGCGTCCGTCCGAATTCATTCACGGGCATTAAATTTCATTAATATTCCGCTAGTTCGAACAACCAACATTCATTCGTCTCCGTTTTATTAAACCATTATATGCATCGACCCAAACCATCTCGTATACTGTTATTTCAATAAATAATAGCAAAGCTGTACGATACGACCGATCGTTAACGTGTAACGTCATACCCTGATAGCCAATCATAACTTGGGTTAATTCGAGCGTCTTCGTGTCGCTTCCAACCTCAAGACAGGCATCATTTGTCAATTGGGCATCGCAGGACGTCGGCATCAATCAAAGTCTTCGACCCTCTCTAAGAACCGGAAGTGAGACAACGGGCAGAGGAATGGCTAAAAAGGCAACTCGATGCCTGACACTGACGAGGCGCATCCATTTATGTGATCATCCGCCCCCCCCCCTCTCTTTCTTCTTATTTCAAATCTCTCATCACGTAACCGTATCATCCCAAAAATTCGAGCCTTCAATACTTTCCAGAACGATACACCCGCCAAATTCAAAAACAGACACTCAAGAGAACGTCTGGTAACAAAGAGAAAATCTATTTTCTCAAATAAGCGTACAAGACGTAAAACACGTAAGATTCATCCCAAGTAAATTACGTAACAGAAAAAAAATAATGTGTTTTACATATCAAATTTCCAAGTACCAAAATATCGCGGAAGCAACCGACAAACAGATTAGGCGTTTATTCGAAAGATATGGCGGACTTGTAATACACGTAGTCATCACAAATATATGTCGCTCACATGAGAATTTTACGTTTCCATTCGACACGACCTTCGTCGTAAAGCATGCGGCCATTATGCTCCCAGGTTCGCTCTCCCAGATCTTCCTCCCTTGAATCCACCGAATATACGATTATCGCTGTGTTCTTGGACCCTATGCTGAGCTATGAACGACCCTCAATGCTTGGGACTTGTCGTTTTGCCCTTGGCAAGAATCTCGTAATAATACGTACAGGCCGATTACAGGGTCGAGCATAGGTTTGCCTCGACGAAAAGGTTAACAGAAACCAAAGGGGAGTTTTCACATCAAAAGTTATTGTAACGTTTACGACAGGCATTTTATACTGGGACAGCGCTGAAATTTTTAAATTTCATTTAGCATCCTGTATCTATTCCTGTTTACGAGATGATAACATATTCTAATTTAGACGAAACAGTCGTTGGTTCTTCATACCCTCTGCTTGGTTCACTGTGCTATGGATGTTAAATAAAGCGAATTTTATGGAAAAATATATATTGATTTAAAAAAATTTTTTAAAGTTAATCATACTTGATAATGCATAGTGTTTAACATGGATATAATAAAGTGAACTATATAAATCAATTTTGGATCACCTTTCTCATGGAACAGGATATCTCTGGTTACCATTTTTCATTGTATTGTTCATGGTATAATGGAATGTTTAGACGAGTAGGTTGGTACTGGATACCATCACGGTCGATAGATTTCTTTGTAAAAGAACGTGCAAGGCGTGCAAACTATTTCCTGGATGTTTACTGAACAGATAGAGTACAAGGGATGCATTGGAAAAGGCGAACAAGATTTTACAGCTGTGAATTCGTATACTGTCGAACGTGGATTAATATTTCCCGTTGCTGAAACGAATGTGAAAAATTCAGTATTTCCAGAAAATATATTTACACAGAAATTTTACTTTTGAGATTACATACGTGATGTGATTTGAAGCACTATCTATCGAATAACAAATATACGAATAGCTATAGGACATAGCATTGGTAAAAAAGAAATTAGGGACCATACAAAATATTTTAGTACCTACGTCACCCATCTTGAAATTCTACATCTTTATAAGTCACTTGGTTCAATAATTTTAAAAAACTTTATTTTCTTGGGTAATTTCACACGAATCGGTTCACTGGCTCGTATGGCTTTTCGTTCAAGAACAAATTTATCATCGAAATGGTACAGTTAGAATGTACTTTTTTCTGTCTTCTCTCGTCTTGAGGAAGCTCGGCCGGAATTTTCTGCAGGAAAAAAACAACTTTGTATACGTATATCTGGTTCACAGAGTATTGCTATACAAGGCCGTCACGTGATTCAATTGTCGAGATATTTTTTACCAAGCGACATTAGCAAATCTAAATGGCTTCTGCACTACTGTACACGACTAACTTCGAAAGTGACAAAATACCAAGCGAATGTACCATTTTGTTATTTCTCGGCAAAGCGCACCGACCTGCCAGAAATTCATAGAAACTTCGTAGCACGCTCGCGCTATGACATTACTTTTCTTAGAACGTATTACAGTTGATCGATAAACCGCAATACTTGCTAGACCATTATTCTGGTGAAATAGAAATAAGAACAACGAATTACTCAAAATGCCCTATATCGTGCAAGAACGCATTAAAGACATGACGATTATTATGAGCCTCTTATACATAACTAGTGTACTGTGTAAAATGATAATTATATACAATGATTACATAGAATTAAGTACAGAACAGTTAAAAAGTTACACAGATTGGCAATATCTCGTGAATCTTTAAATTACGCGATTATTTGTTTTAATTATAAATTGTTAGGCAATGCTCGAAAATTGTAAAATAGCCGCTGTAGGAACATAGCTGATTGGTACACATTGACATTAACAGTTTGAAATGCAATTCTTTTTCATACTTGCTTCTGAGTACAAACCAATATCCAAGTAATCAAATACATGTCAAACAAGAGTTAATTAATTTTCCTTCGAACTTTGCTTCTTGTCAATAACAATACAGTCGTTTGAATAAATCTTCTACTGGGTGTTCCGTAAATTCATATTGTGACAAATGAGATTACGTCAATTATTTTAAATCACCCAGAAGTGTAGGTGCACGCGTGAATATTCACCTGAACTATACTTTCTCAATAAGTATACCATCTCTCATCCTTTGTTTCTAAATCCATGACATAGGCCGTCCCGTTATCCAATGTCTGACACTCTCGGTAAGTTAGTTTTGCTTCCCAGACGTCGAACAGACCTTTCACGTCGATGGGCTCCTACTGTACCATGAGTAATACAGTACATGTGGAGAATTTGTTAAACGAGCTTTGCTTACTATTCGCCAACTCATGCCAGCAACATTTTAGCTCGATGAGTTTTGAGGTTATGGAATTCCTTGTGTGATAAATCATAAAGCTCAACCACTTTCCATTGCTACAGGAATCACATCTCCTAGATATTCAGTGCTCTGCAACTGAAAATTATTAAAAATTAAGCAGCATAATATAACATAGAATAACATTGAATTTATTATTTTATCGCATATTATTATCGAGCAATCAAATATTAATGGTCTCTTATGATCTTTAAACCGTAGGGTAATTGGAAAGTTTGAGCCTGCACTACCTCTCAATAAATGCCAGGTTAAGTAGGATTAAGTCAATATCGCAGGTGAGCACAGATGAAAGGCTCATATAGGTAGAGATAATGAAATTTATAATGAATCGAGATGAAATATACATAAAAAACAAATAAAACTGTTGAAACAATCAAAATCTCGACTGATAAAAATATTAACTGAAAAATGAAAAATTCAAGAAAAGGGTTTTAGGACAATTTTCATTTTGGCAAAGAGTATTGCTTTAAAAAATGAGCGTATTAGGCAGTCGCAGACACGAGTCATTAAATTTGCATAAGAGGATTGCGCCTCTTTTACAAAATTGTAAATTCTTGGATTTGACAATGAGAAATTCTAAATTCTCGCGAGAACTGATTATGGTTTAGAAAATGGTACTGAAACACAGTTAAATTCTGTTGGTAGTGAAAACTTTGATAGACAGACAGTAAATCCCTAATAAATCTATACAAAGCCGATCAACTGGATTAATGTGCAAGTTCTATTAGCGTAACATATTAAATTATAATTTGGATTATATGTATAACGAAGGATCAAATATATATATATATCCAGGGTCTACTAGTTTAATGAGAGTAACTATATACCTATATCTAAATTTATCATGAATAAGTAATCGACAAAAGAAATAAAAAGAAGAGACTCGATGACGCGCGTCGCTAGATTTCTTAAAGTCCTCGTAAAACACTCTTAACTACTTTAATCTTCGTAACGAAACGTTAATGGCCGCGAGCTATTGGTTCCGATAAGAGCGTTATACGTTCCGCTATGGTTGCTCGTTGGCTGACTAGTAAAAAGAAAAGGAAGAAAAGAAGGTGGCTTAAAGTTGTATAAAAGTGCGAATGTGGACGCGCGATAACTAATGAACTGTCAGGAGGGAAAGAAATCTTCCGGAACTTCGTCGCAAGACAATGGCGAATTAACAAGGGAACACTGAATAAATGGCACAAGCTCTTTGTCACGATAAAATAAAAACAGTAAAAAAAAAAGAGAGAAAGCCTAGTGGCTTTAATCGTTGCCATTTGTTAATCTGACATTTGCAGAACGTTCCACTTGATTAGCTCCTTCATTGCCCAGATTCTTTATGGTATCAAATCCAAACAGCTACTTTTTTACTTTTCATTCCTCTAGACTTTTTAAATTAATAAGCCACCTCGTCATCTGCTTTTTGGGAAGTATCAATGTTCCGGTAATTTATTACCATTTGCGGCTTTTCCTCTTTCACTTTCCTTTACTCCATTCATACATTCCCATCGAGAATATCTACCTGGAATATATACATATACATGTGGGTAAATATAAAAATCCTTATAAGATTACTGATACTGCTAAAGAAAATTCGTATGGAAAAGAAAAATTGGAAGTTTGGAAAAACCACAGTCAGTGTTAAAAGTTTCATTAGTCACCGATTGAAAAATGAAGTGTGCCCTTCCAAGTTCCTCTTCTTAACTATTTATTAAAATATTTCGCACTTCAAGGTTTGCCCTGTCTTGCGCATTCTCAAAGGACGCATATCTCACGAACCTGCTGCAGGATTACTTGCCAGTCTTTCCGATCGATAGACCAGCTAAGGGACTACATCGTGGTGCGAAATTAAAATTCCAGCGATCTAAAACAAAAGGACTACTATAAGTATGCATTAAATACTTAATATTAGTATATAAGGCTGTTATACAAAATTCAAATATTACATAGCAAAGGTAAATCGCATTCAGTTATTATCAGACCGTAAATAATAAAAAGAAGAATTATGCATAAAGCTTAACTGATATATTAGTCAATATATATACCTGTGTATGTATGTATTGCTATCGGTTGCCAGGACAGCAAATAAGCATTTGTGTAATGTATACTATCGATTTCGTACATATTTGTAAGACTTGCATAGTTTATGTGAGTTTATATTTGTATATATTTATTTACCATAAAAATAGTACACGAATATAGTGAGTCAAGGAGCCTTTCAGGTCTCACCCGTCAGCCCTGACCGTCCAAGCTCCATTAAGCTCGGCAGGGAACTTCCAGCAATAGAAGCAGCTGTCGTAAATAAAATCGAAAGGTTCACGGCGGGAGAAAATCTTTTCAGAAATTAAATTACACGACGCAAATGCCTGTAGATTCTCTGTACAGCATCCGACAGTGAAAGACCTTCCTGCTCCTCTTACTTCTGTGGTAATGCATAAATTCCAGATGGCAAAGTGCATGCAAAATAAGCTCCCTCGCATCTTCCCCATCGGTACGCCCAGTACACGAGCATCTATGCAGTTGCGGTTCCTTGCAGATGCAAATGCAAGAAGGTGCTGAAATACTGCTGATGAAGAAAGCACAGATGAGCCTGGAAAAAAAGAAGCTTTCAATTTCACGAAGAATAGGAGCAAAGAAATTTTCATAGATTTTTGTGAAATTTTTATGTAACTGCGTAAATGTAAAAAGTTATATTATCAGTGTAAATAATTAAGACTGACAAACTTTCACGTTGAAAGCTGAAAAATAAAACGTATATGGCATGAGCGTAAAAAAAACTTAAAAAACTGAAGAACAAATGAAGTCGAGTCACGAAGAGAATTTTAAGAAGGTCATTATGTTGCATTAGATCTAGCTTTATCTTTGACTTGTTCTTCTTAAAACTGTATATCTGATACTGTATATATGATATAATGTTTTTCCAGCTTTTATAATTTTCTTTCTCTCCTACTGATTTTCTTTTAACTTTTTCGTTCCACAAACCTTATTTAAGTCTTCGGTTGTTGTATTTCCTTTTGATTTTCATCGATTTACTCAGAAAAGTTTGATAACAGACGTTTCCAGATTATAAATGAGACCCTCGACAACAAGATAACCAATCAAGGAGAACAGAGTTTTGCAATTTCACGAATCAACCTATGAGGATTTTGGTAGGTGGTGGCAGTACGAAAACTAATTTATCCCTGCATGGTTGGTTGCCTGCTTGCTTGCTTGCTTCCTTGCTTGCTTCCTTGCTTCCTTGCTTGCCTGTCTGCCTGCCTGCCTGCCTGCCTGACTGACTGACTGACTTACTTAGCGGCTTGGTAAATCCAGCGGGGGTGCTCCTGTCAAGAATGGATGATTGATACCATTGATAGTAATGTAAGTCAGTTGTTGGATAGTATAAAAAACAAGCCGATTTATTCTAGCCAAGAAACAATGAAATTCCAAAGCCGCTTTAGGTTACTGGATATCACGTAGAAAAGTCAAAAAGACATAACGTTTATGCTTCTTTACTTTCCCGTATACTACTCACGGAATTTTCGCAATTTTCTTCACCTGACGGAAATAGATACAACGCCTATGGTGTAGCAGACGTAAGTTTTATAGTACTGTGAAAATGGAATCCAACACCTTATAGCCTATGAACGAGATTGCCTTGGAAGACCATTTAACTTTTTTCGTGCCTGGTAAATTCACAGCATCAAACATAAAAAATAAGACCAATCATAGGATTGGTGCGCATGTTCCACAGGGACAACAGGACAGGATAAAACTTTACCGTCTCCTGTGTAACGGTCCATCATATAGGATTTTCAAAGTTCTAGCCAGGCATCGCGCTTGGAATAATCGAACAAGTTTGTCGTGCTCATAGAAAATTCCATCTAGCACAGGATCCGGTGATAATGAGTTTGCCTGGAGAAAAAATGAAGACAGAATTTTTCAAATATTAAGAAACCTAATTATATCCGAAGTAGTTCCACTTATTTTTATTAAAAGCGTCATTTAAATGAAGCGAAGACTGAATTTACCAACTCGTCGAAAACAGAGTCCGAATTCTCATTTTTGTCTTTTTAATGACTAGCTGTCGTACGAGTCTGAAATTTCAAAAGTATATTTATCCTGACAAATGGGTGGTACGTGTTTGTACAGGCTGTCGCAAGAGGAATATCGTACACTGAAAAGAGTTTGCTAAAGGAAAGTTGCACGAAGTGTCTCGTTTTCTTTTCCACCTTTCTTTTTTTTTTCACCCCTACGTCCAACTTTTCTTTATATCTTACCATTGGAGTTCGATCAAACGTCCGAAAAACTCGGAGGCAATATCGGGCAAACGATGCCAGACGACCAGCCGCACTATCGAAAAGCAATACCATGAGATAAGATGGGCCTTCTTGTTAGTTTTTCTGTCGTGACGAGATAAGTATAAGGGAAGTTATTTTTTGCAACTTCATAAAGCACAAAGTAAAGAGTCGAAGTCAAGTAATTTCCAAGTATATAAAGGGTACAGTTTTTGAAAGAAAAAAAAAAAAAAAAAAAAAAAAAA